TGATGTGTCCAATAGTCATGTCTGGCCAAATACCTCTCAGGTCATTCCTCTTGACCAGTCACATTGACTGGTCACATGTAGATCAGTCTGATGTGACCAATACTCATGTCTGGCCAAACACCTCTCAGGTCATTCCTCTTGACCAGTTACATTGACTACTCACATGTAGATCAGTCTGATGTGTGAAATAGTCATGTCTGGCCAAACACCTCTCAAGTCAATCCTCTTGACCAGTTACATTGACTACTCACATGTAGATCAGTCTGATGTGACCAACACATTGACTGGTCATATGTAGATCAGTCTGTGTCCAACAGTCATGTTTGGCCAACAGATCATTATCTCTTGACCATTCACAATGCCTGGTCACATGTTTGATTGACCAGGCATTGTGACCATTCATCATGTCCATTCATTTAGCAGCCATTATTTTTAGCGATAAGTCAACAAACATGGCAGCCAAAAAATTATTATCATTATACTGTACCTATCTCATATTGACAAATAAGTGCTATTTCTGTTTGTTCTGCAGCAGCATGCATAGCTTGATGGAACTCCTGTAAAGCTAGAGGAACATTGCCCTGCAATTAAATTGAAATAAAGAATTGAAAATAAAATTGAAGTGCATGACTACACACTGTGTGATAATAATATAATAAAATAATAGCATTTTATATCTGATACTCTAAAGCACTTAACAAATTATAACCAAAAGAAATTCTACAATGTACATGATAGTCTGCTATTGAAAGTTCATCCTATTTTTCCAACCTTCAAGTTGCAGGAGTGATAGCACTAAAGCCTTGCTCACACTAGCATTTGGAATCAGAAGCCACATATGCAGACTTATCAGTAGTGACTGCTCATTAACAGTGCTTATATTTTTTCACACCTAGGTGATAAATGCAATACTGAGTCTGCACATGTTAGTGTCAACCAGGCTTTATGGGACAAACCTTTAATCTGGACACTAGACCTCTGAAAAATAAGAAGACAGCAGATGAAGGGTAGTCTTGTGATGATTCCTCTAGCATCTGAGTGGCTTTTAATAGACCTAAAAAATAACAAACTGTCTGTCAAATGATGCTAGACTAGCTGTATAAATATCATAATTAAAAGAGAAAGAAAAAAGGAAAAGAGCAGGAGGAATGAGCGAGAGTGAGCCACCCCTCCCTAGTGATTTTGTAATTAGTTATCAATGGAGAAATGATTGACAGCTATCACCACGTGCGAAAAGGAATTTGCAAAGGGAGAGAAGTGTGTGTAAGCCAGCAGTTTTAGAGCAAAATAAATCATTCCAATCCACAAGTTTTAGTGTATTGACTTCGGAACAGGAAGTAAGAGAGGTTAGAAAAAAGGAAGGAAATAGAAAAGTGTGTATAATTATGCACTGTGTAAGGCATTCTGTATTATGGAAACTTTATCATCCTATTAAGGGTTTGCACCATCATGTGATGGCAGCCATGACAGGAGGCAGGAAAAATCGAATCTGATTTACATAAGAAAGAATGCAGTTTTCCAGGAGAAAAGACTCTATCGTCGTGGATCCTGTCATGGCTGCCATCACATGATCGTGCATAGCCTCTGTACCATAAAATAGGTAGTATACTGACATGCAATGCCCAAAAATAGTTCATTAATCTAAGTACATCACAAGGGTGGATCCAGCTAAAATTTTGCTAATTGAGTTTCTTCCATCAACACAATGGAAAACAATAAAAAAAAGCATCTAATTCTTCAGTTTTGTTTTGTTTTTGTTTTTCTACTGAAGGGAGGCTTCAGCCCCACTTTGCCCCCCCTGGATCCGCCCTTGCGCCATGCTCCAGTGTACATCATGCTACTGTTGTAGGGTGTGTATTAGCATGCGATGCAAAACCAACAAAATGTGCTCCAAGGGCACTGCAGTACTAACAAGATGTAGTAGTAAGTCTGGAAGCATTGGGATAATAATAGCCAACTGATAGACTACCTTCTTCATTATTACCCTCATCAAGGGCTATGAATGGACGTATGACGGAATGATACCATAGCAGAGTTAACCTGTTAAGAAAAAAGACAGAATGAAAGACTGAATGGATGGGAGAACATACTGTATCATGGCTGATCTTACAATAAATAATAAAACTAAAAAAGTGGTTTCACAGAGTGGCTCTTCTTCCACTGGACTCCAAATGTTCATTTTTCAAAAGTTCATTTTTTCGGAGAGAGGAAAAACTGGAGAACAGAAAAACTCACAAAGCACAGGAGAGAACCAACAAGCAACTCAACTCACACATAGGAAGCACGGGTGGCGTGCGCTTCTTATGTGTCATCTCTCACCAATGTGACCCGAGCTCGAGCCCCGCCGTGCTTGGTGTCGTATGGGAGTAGAGTTGTTTGTTGGTTCTCTCATGTGCTTTGAGGGTTTTTTTCCAGGTTCTCCGGTTTTCCTCCCTCCGCAAAAATCAAATTCTAAATTCCAATTCGATTTTGGGCTTTCACCTAGAATGGATCTGAGGGTTTCGTTCGTGATTGTCCCACTCTGTGATTACAGACAAAACTGGTCGATTTTTAATATATATATTGCACCGAGTCCAGAAATTGAACCCAGGTGGCCTGTTTTCAACACTATATCAACTGTGCTTCTTATGTGTAAGCCCAGAGTCTTTTTCACATTTGCATCTCAAACACCCAAAACCCATAATATAAATAATACCTAATAATAATAATAATAATAATAATAATAAAATTTTAACTTATCTCACAGATTAAATAAAGATGTCCATAATAATAATATATCACATTTCTAAAAATTAATATTACCATGAAGCCAATAGAGTCTTTGCACCATCATGTCATGGCAGCCATGACAGGGGGAAGGAACAATATTGATTCTGGTCATCATGTGATGGTGCAAAGCCTCTATAATACATGACTTTATACCTTGCTACAGGGGCTTTCATGTCATCACTACGACTAGCTATATCCAATGCTTGCAGACCAACATCTCTATTACCAGAAAACCCAAGCAAATGACAAAACTTAAGGAGTTTAGGAGGCACCAAGGATATAGCCAGATGAAACAAGCCGTAGCCACAGGACACGGCCGCCTGCAGATGTCGTAATTTGTCAGACCCTATCTCTTTGGAGGCCTTTCTTAATAACGATGGAGTACCAGCACTTGAAGGTTCTTCTAATACTGTCAACATATCTTGTTCCTCAGCCTTTGGTTTATTGTCACATCATGAAAATGCACAAAACATTATAATAATCAAGTTCAAAGTAATGACAATAATAGAGCTCTTTAGCTTGGGTGCTATGTTTTACCATTTCTGACCATGCGTCATTCTCTTGAAAATAAGATTCTTTGTTTGAGTTTTATACATATTCATGTGTCTTTTCCTGCTCAACCATTAAACAAAGAAATAATACTCTAGGGAATTACAAATGGTCTGAAATAGGAAAAAATAGACCATTTTCAAGTTCGTAAATTTACAGACTAATTTACTGAGTGTTAAATGCCGCATTTCAACACCACAATAATCACAACATTTAATACCAACGATAAAGTAAAGGATGCATGACTTTAACAATGCAAACATCTTAGCTGGAACAAATGACTATTCTACACTTAAACAAGCCCAACCCTGGGGACTCGAAACTGGAGGTTTCAAAAGGTGCTAAAAGAGTTTTATCTCAAGCTACCTACCTCAGTTGACTCCAGGTCTGGCACTTCCTCAGCATCTGCATCAGAAGCACCATTTTCTTGAACAGTGATCTCTGGTGACCAGTTAAGGAATGGTCCACCAATTTCACTTATCTCCCTATAGCACTTGTCATACAATTTCCATGCACGGCGCATTAAATACCCTCCCTTGATATAATCTGTAATACCTAAATGAGTTCATTAAAAAGAAAAAATACCAAATAAGAATTTAAAACACCAGTTATATTGAGTCCATGGCAAGGTCAATGAAGGTCACTGGGTCAAATTATAATTTTGTGGAGGGAGGACTACTGAAGAACCTGAAAAAATATTTAAACAAGAGACCTTGTTTGCTGTTTGAAGATTGCTGACATCCAGTTAGACAGTGAGAACCATTCAAAATGTAGACTAGATGAAAACAATACATTCCAATTTTGGGTAGTTACGTGTAAACCATTCAGAAACCTGGGCTGTATGAGAATGGTAATTTGACCAATGTTACATATTATAAACAACTAGATAGCCATTGCCATTTTCTCAGGGGAATAAAAGGATATGTTGAAAAGGCTATTGTTTTCTGCTGGTTTTACATTGGCTCCACTACCCAAAGTTGGAATGCATTGTTTTTATTCTACGTTTTGATTGGTTCTTGCTGTCTAAGTAGCCCCAGTTTCATTAGTCACAGAATAATGAGACTTAAGGCCGGTTTCAACGGTATGATTTTCACCTACAACTATCGTATACAACACGCTCGCATCTGTTGTAGGCAAGTTGTAGGCGAAAATCATACCGTCTAAACCGGCCTTTAGAGGGAGTGAAAGCCAAAATGCAAGATTAGAAAGCAAGGAAAGACAGATAAACCTGAACCCAGGTGTTTCCCATTGTCCTTTGTCTCCTTCTTCTATAACCTTCTATTAGAAGAAAGGAAAAGACATCAGTGGAGGAAGCTAGAAATATTTTACCTTGTTTTAGAAAAGTAAGCAATGCCATATAGAGTTCAGAGTCTGCATATAGAATCTGTCTCATCAGCCGTTCATCCATAGCAATACTAGATTTCTTGCTACTCTCTATATAGCAGACTCTCTGGGATTTCTTTAAATTTTCTAGTGCTCTGTCTAGCTGGTCATCTTCAAATGTCAGGATGGCTTGCTAGAAAGTGCAAGCAAAAACAATTTTAGGGTAAAATTAAATGGGATGGATGGATGGATGGATGGATGGATGGATGGTTGGATGGATGGATGGGTGAATGGATGGATG